TACTTAGAGTGCGCAATAATCTTTGGTTTTATTTATCACAGAGCCCTATCCTATAGTCCGGTTGATTATATTCAGTTGGTTTTGAATTAATGTAACTGGTTATGTACCTATAAAAAAATTTAACTAGTTAAGAAGACTTCGTCGTTCGTATTTATCTTTTTATATAATTAATTCTCAACTAGTACTTCACGAATTTTATATAATGTATATATGACAATTTATATTTTTAATCAAATAAAATTATTCAACAAAAACCATGACCTATATTTTGAAAAAAAAAAAAGAAAAATCCGATCTCATATAAAATCATCCCCGAAACATGCAAGGTTAATTGAGAATTAGTTATATGGGCAATGAATAGAAACAAAAGGAGTAGTAGTTTTCATACAAGAGTTCTTGAGTTGTAATAGCATAAGTATAAATGCTAGATTGATTTGTCTCAAAGGCAGAATCAGAATTGAGTAAAGGCTTCAAACAAACTTGTGAAAGAAATGGATTGATCTCTATTTTATAGGCTGTAGCATATACAAGAAAATTCCACCTGCAACAGAAACATTCAGGGATTCATAATCTCCAGCCATGGGAATACTAACAAGCTCACACTCCCCCTGAGATTTCTCTGAAAGGCCATGTCCTTCACTTCCCAAGACCAAGCACAATGGAATGTCTGATAAAGAATCTACAAATTCTTGGGATAATGAAGACACTGGTTTTGACAATCTGTTACTGTCTGGATGGCCAGCTAACATCTTCATCTGAAATTCCATTTTGAGGGTTTGAAGATGACACCAACTGCCAGAAACAATAGGCAGCTGAAAGGAGGCTCCACGACTAGCTCTCAGTGCTTTCTCATTGAATGGATCACAACAACCAGGAAGAAGATATATACCTCCCTGTTGGATGTTGATCATAACATTAGACCTCATCACATTCATGAAGTAATAATGAGGACTATGTAAAAAGCAATAAATGAAATGAGGAAGAGAACATCATGTACAAAGAAAAAAGAATAGGGAAAATGATAGGTAACTGTTGGATTATTAGGAATAAACATATTTGATTGTTGGCTCTTAAAACCGATTGGAGTACCAGCTATAATTGGCAAAAGCCTAAAAATAGCCCCTTACCTTGATAAGTTGGACGGTTTTAGCCCCTCACCTTATAATATAACAGTTTTGGCCCCTCACCTATAAGAATGGAACAAAATAGCCCTTATTTATGATTTCTGTCGCATGTCCGTTACGGCCGTCACTTTGTCCGTCCGTTAACTTTGTCTTACTTACATAATAAATAAAAAAATGGGAAAGCTTCTCCAAGAAGCCTGCTGCATTTTTTTGGGGAATTCCAACCCTTTTTTTTTTTTTTTGAAAATTCTAACTTTTTT